GCACGAGGGAGAATGAAAGGGGAATAATTTTCTAAACGTGATTTTATTCGGTTTGCTGGGGGAGAAACAACTTTGTTCCGTAGGCATGATTAATACTACAAGACTTCTTATTGTCTAAATTTGGGACTTTAAAATGTATAATTTTTTATGTTCAATTAAGATGTTGCTTAACTTGCAGTTGTTATTATCATTCAATGATATTAAAATGACATAAAGTATTTATGATGAACAGTCCCTAGAATTTTTGATAAGGAACCGTCAGTTGTAAAATGGTATTATGATCTTATAATGAACAGTCGTCATACCTGCTGGTATGTCATTTATAAATGGTTTTTAGGTTTTTCAAAATTTGCATGATTAACAATCCGAATGTAGACCTCAATGAAATGTTCTGGAAATATTAACAAAATGAAAAGTCAACCATATTAACCATATAATTATTATATGAATGGTTGAACGATAAATGGCGCAATGTGCATATTTTCTTATTTAACAGCACATTTTAAGGCAAAAGAAAAGAAACTATAAGTCTGAAACATTCTGTCATAGCCTTCCCATCGTACTAGTACATTCAGTGCTTTGATTATATGTGTTGTACCGTGTGCAAAAGAATGTTTTATAGTATATTATTATTTTAGTTAATTATAGATAAATTGGCTACAGAGGATGGTGCTGGTATTCAATACTTGAAACTTTATTGTGTTTATCATAGACATTTTTTATTTATATCTTTCTCTTGGTGAAAATTATTTACTATAAATGTATATTTAAATCCATCTTTCTTCATATACATGATATATATAAATTTGCTGCGGTATTTGAGGAAAATATCAGTGAATATAGGAACTGTTAAAAAAATTCGTAATCAAATTTGAAAATTTATTGAAAAGTAAAATATTGTGAAGGGAACAAAGAGATTAATTTACACAAGGCAAACGGCACTTATAAATTTATGTACAGAACCCCCCAAAAAAGGTCAAAATATTCAAAAATAGTTCTGACTGGGTTAGTCACGTAGCAAAAATATGGTGATAAAAACTAAAAATCAGAAAATTAACCCCGCACAAAATTAGGGAAAATGATTGTTGATCTTGAATTTTTTTTTTCAAAAATTTTAGATACATAACTAAAGAGTTTTTTTTCTTGACTTTTTTGCTATTGGAGGCAGCTTTTTTTAAAGAAAACCCGAAGGCACGGTTGTCTGGTTATAATAAATTTGGTGTCCAAACAATTTCAATACCGAATATATCGAATATATTTAATTTTTTTAAATAAATATGAATTTATTTTCATCTAGTGAAATATGATAATTTCCTTACCACAGAATGAAAATAAATACTGTATTAACTAGTATAGAAAAAACTTGGATTTCCTGTTTATCATATACATTTTTTGTTTGTTTTGACTATTCAATTAGAAAGACTTCCTCTTAAATTTTGTGTATTGACTAAATATAGAAGAAATAAGTCCGACAAGACACCAGTGAAAATACGGAAAATATGTTTCACTACAGTGAAAAATGAATTTTACAGTGAAAACACGGAAAAGTAAAATACGCATTTTATTCATCAATATTTCTCAATATTTCATCTTTAAGTATATAATATAATTATGTATACATGTATATCATTTACATCACAATGTATTGTATGTTTTTAGTGACAGCGGAGAACTGTGATCATGATTCTGATTGCAAGTTGACAACATGTGGCACTAACTTCCACCTTGATTGCTACAGTAGAGATAATGTGTGCACATGTATACCAGACCGTAGTTCAGGTACAGTCTAATATAATACCAGACCGTGATTTAGGTACAGTCTAATGTAATACCAGACCGTGGTTCAGGTACAGTCTAATGTAATACCAGACCGTGGTTCAGGTACAGTCTAATGTAATACCAGACCGTGGTTCAGGTACAGTCTAATGTAATACCAGACCGTGGTTCAGGTACAGTCTAATGTAATACCAGACCGTGATTCAGGTACAGTCTAATGTAATACCAGACCGTGATTCAGGTACAGTCTAATGTAATACCAGACCGTGATTCAGGTACAGTCTAATATAATACCAGACCGTGATTCAGGTACAGTCTAATATAATACCAGACCGTGTTTCAGGTACAGTCTAATATAATACCAGACCGTGATTCAGGTACAGTCTAATGTAATACCAGACCGTGATTCAGGTACAGTCTAATATAATACCTGACCGTGATTCAGGTACAGTCTAATGTAATACCAGACCCAAACTCCTCACAGCGGTTACGTCACGCTTTGCTACTTTAACTGTACAGATCAGGGGAAGTAACCGCTGCGAGGAGTTTGTACCAGACCGTGATTCAGGTACAGTCTAATATAACTCCCAATCCTCCTCTGCTCAACAAAATCAGTCACTGTGCAGTGTCATATGCTTCCGGAATGTAGCACTGAAAAAGCAAAAACATAATGTTATGTTGCCTTCCACGAGATTTTTCTGTTTATGAATATTCCTTCCACGGGATTTTTCTATTTATATGAATGTTCCTTCCACGAGAGTTTTCTGTATATGAATGGTAAATGAATGTTCCTTCCACGAGATTTTTCTTCATATGAATGGTAAATGAATGTTCCTTCCACGAGATTTTTCTTCATATGAATGGTATATGAATGTTCATTCAACGAGATTTTTCTGTATATGAACGGTATATGAATACAGCTTCCAAGAGATTTTTCTTTATATGGTGTATGAATGTTCATTCCACGAGATTTTCATGTATATAATTGTTAAATAAATGTTGCTGCTACGAGATTTTTCCGGATATGAATTGTGTATTGATAAAAATACCTTAAAGATAAGAGTATTAAAACCCCTGGACAAAACAGTAATGCACCTCAGCAGACGTTAACCATATGTTTGCAAATTCAAAGGGTCATAATCGCACATGTTTTATCCAAATTGAACATGAAAACTACGTCACAAGGCTGATAACTTCATTCAAATAATAGTAGTGGTTGTGGATATAAAACTCGAACAAATTTGTACCGAATATACAGACGGATGTACAGAATAATGTATGATGCCAGTAATTAATTTAAATGTATGAAAAGCTCAGGATGTGCAGCCATATTCCTATCACAGATAAAAGCACTAAAAGGTCAAGTACGGAACAGAGAATGTTCCGATTGAAGTTCCGAATACACATCCAGGTCATTCCCTACTTCCGGTTTCTCAGAGTATATTACTCTACGCGTTCCAATAGAATTATTCGGTAAATTATGAGCATTTCTGTCTACTACTTCATTTCTGTATTACTACTTTCAATTGACATAACCGTAATTTGGCCTTTCATGTCCTTTATCGAGACATGACAAAAAGTTTCTTGAAGTGTTCCGAAGCTAAACGGCCAGAAAGATGCGATTGGACTGATCAATTGATTTTTATGTCCACAGACTACAGCTGTACAGGAAATGGTGCCGATGCTTGCAAATCACATTTCGGAGATTGCACTCATGGTGACCATCATTGGCATTGCGTTGACGGACGTTGCCGATGCAGCTATTTCGGATAAAGCAAGTATGTTACCAAAAATTGTTGCTTTATATTCTACAATATTTTGAGTGCTTAAATAAGAAATGTTTGTTGACAAAAATAGACACTGACTAAACTTTAGGTACGATTTTTACTGAATTTGTAAAACAGTATTGTGTTAAGACTATTATTTTAATGCGCATAGGTTCTTTTAAAATGTTGACATGCGAGATATTGACTCTTGCTCTTTTTTATTTTATTATATAGAATTTTAATACAGATTTTATATTTCAGCGAGGCTACCATAGCAATTTTAACGTTTAAATTGTTACATGTTCAGCTTTAGTGAGTATCATAACATAATCTCACGAGATTGTAAAAGTTCCTCGCAGAGAGGATTGACCTAATTCTGACATGTCTCTTTCGGAGAACTTCGACGTTTTTCAAGTACCTTCAATCAAAACCGAGGTCTACCGAAAAAGATATACGAAAATTAAGGTTATTACTTTATTTTTTCGTTCCGTTTTGCATTTATTAAAGTTTGGTCCTTTCCTTTCTATTTCAGTTTGAAACGGCACATCAACACGCATGATTACTTATAATAATTTTGAAATAAAATTATTGCGTTAAAATTCTCAGGTTTGTTTTCCCTTTCAACCGTAAGTTGTAAATTCAGCCATCTTAACATAATTGGTAAAAAAACCGCCGAAGGTCACTAACCAAAACTGACAAATAAAATGAACAGAGCTTAACTCTAGCCCCATATATTCTAATAAATTCAATGGTATATATCTAAAAGTTTATTAAGCGCTTATCAATTACTCGGCGTGGAAAGCTCCAGATGCAGGACTGTTTTCACCACTCATCGTGTGGCCAGTGATGTAGTATATATGCAAGTCAATCTGCGACGCATCAACTTGGCGCATCTTTAATATTTAAAAGACTAGCTGTTTCCCCTGACAAATGAACTTTCGTGTTGCCGCTTGTAGTTTACGTAATGATATAGGTATACACAGGGAAATGGGTTCTACATAGTAACTTGTTTGCTAGCTGATAGTTTACAAATTTCTTTCTGTTAAACGGCCATTTACGTTATGGTTGATAGTATTTCTGGGGATGGCAATTATATACTTATTGAAAATTATTTCATTTCTTTAAAATCACCGGCAGAATGCTTTACTACTATCGCATGAATCGTTTAGTTTCCAACGTGAAAATATCTTAATATTCTGCTTTATATCTTTCTAGCAAATCAGACGACAGTACATGAATAGTATTTTTTACTATAAAGGGAGACAAATCTTGAAATCATCAAAATTATTATTAATGTACGGATTATTTCCCTTGATAAAACACTGAAAACTTAACTAGATTATGATTTATTTCATCTACGTCTTACGCGTATAAAAATTCTCTGTAATATAAACATGATGCTTTTCATAAATAATAGATAAAATTACACAAATTTGAAATCTTGAAGCTTCTTTTTAGTTCACCCTGTCTTTTCCTGTGCTTTTCATCGAATCATCATCGAGAGATTTTCAACACTTATATGTATTAGTGTCCAACTTTATTTGTCATCCAATGAAAACGCGGTATTTCTGTGCGTTAATTTTCATAGAAGAACAAAAGTCGATACTATATCGAATTTGGCCATAGTCGACTTCTATTTTTCACAGTACTTCATAGAACCGCATAGTGACGTAATAAAGTGAATGATAATGAGGCCAAATAAAGGTTGACACTAAATATGTTAGTATTCATCCGTGCTGTTCTACAGAAATTAGAAACATTCTCCTGTCGCTATCGCTCCCGTCGAAGTTTCTAATTTCTGTAGAACAGCACGGATGAACACTAACATATACGTATAATTTCAGAAGAAATGAAATCTTAAAAAAATAATGTTGTCGCTATCGCTCCCGTCGAAGTTTCTAATTTCTGTAGAACAGCACGGATGAACACTAACATATACGTATAATTTCAGAAGAAATGAAATCTTAAAAAAAAATGTTGATCAAAACTATGTAGTTGGAGGCAGTTCGTTACACAGCAAACTGACGTCATCTTGTCCGACGGCATTTGAAGAGCCTGAGACGTACCAAATAAAAGCATTTCAGGTCAAAGATTTTGTTTAGATAAAAAAATGATGAGTAAAATGCTAGATTAAATAATAGCTTGATGTTTTTCTCCAAAACTTAAAAATCGTGTCATTTGTAATGAGAAAAACATATTTTTCGTGAAATGTGTGACATCATTCTCTACGTCATATCCGGTGGCATGGCATAATATTTGAAATTCATTATTGCGTCTCATTTTGTTCATCTTGTTCTGTTGTATAGTATCCACATGGCATTGACTTGGTAAGAAAGTTCACAAACTCTGAAATATAAATATAATATAAATATTGTTAGAAACTAAGTACATTAGATCTAAAACATCATATCTAATTTTCAGAGGAATTGAAGATCTACCGGCAAATTCTAATATTCACTCCGTTACTCTATTTCCGTCATTTTACACATATTCTACATCATAGGCACTCGGTTCCACAACCTTTTTTGATTTTAATTTCTTAAAAAAATTATATTATGTATATAAAATACTACAAGGTTTCGCAGCCGCCATGTTTTAACGCAACGGAAGTGCATTAACTGGTTTACAATTAAAAAAAATATTGGCTCCCGAGTCACCTTTTAAAGAATATTGTCGAAATAGTCAATAATTGTGGTACCCATATTAGCCAATAGTCTCCTTTCATCGAATCGGGAACTAGTGTTTTTTATTGAAAATTGTGCACCAGTCAACGCACTTCCGTTGCGTCAAAACATGGCGGCTGCGAAAGCTTGTAGTTTTTTTAAAGTTGTTACCACATTTAAGTGAAATTGTATATAAATTATGTAAATAATTATGCTTCTAAAACAATTTTCAAACACCGAATAATATGTTAAATATGTACTGCAAATATTTGTCCACATTATATGTAATCATTAAAATATATGCATTCATTTCTTCTTAGACTTTATAGAAAACAAATTTCTAATTACCTCCCTTTATTAACATGAAATGTAAATTTAGTAATATCTTTACAAATAGAATATAATGCTTTTTGGAACTTACAATATTGTTAAATCTTCATTAGAACATTATATTTATGATATGAAATCATAAAAAAATTGTGTTACATGATCTTTAGACTCACCCTCCAAATAAAAGTTAAACTAACTTTTAAAACCAAATTTACACTCCCTACGTCACATTTACAGTCAGTCCATCACAATTTCATTATCAACTTCTAATTAACGTTTACGTGTATTACGTCATTACCCCTTCATTGTGTTAACACTTTCAACCCTTATATCACATTTACACTCATCACGTCATATTCAAACTTACTACTTTACATATCCAGCTAGCTTACGGAACGTCGGTGGTTCTACTCAGGTGCCCGTTCGTACTTGAAATAATGCACGGAGGGGCACCTGAGGTCTTCCTCCACCAGTAAAAGCTGGAACGTCGCGATATGACCTATACTGTGTCGATGTGACGTAAAACCCAATCAAACAAACAAACAACTACTTTACATTCGTACTCCATACTTCACATATACATATTGTATCACCACCATATCTGACAGTGACTGACGGTTTACATTCTCAATGTTGAATTACACGTGTATATATAATTACGCGATTGTCAAAGGAATATAAGAGGCTTTAAAGGTGTATTTCTTTACTAAACAATACATAAAGTCACCATATGACGTATAAGGTTGACGGAGAGTATTACCGTTTACATCAACATATCCATCTTTGTTCGTGTCCATGGCAGCCATAAGCTGATCTGCTTCTTTCTCTGTTAAAGGATCACCACAAACACACAGCGTGTCTACCAGTACTGTAATAGATCGACATTATGTTATGTTACCAAGGAACAGGTTCACAGTAATGGCTAGGCTGCTAGTACATTATATGTACACCTCATTCACATTACATGTACACTTAAAATAAACTTCACATACATTACATGTACATTTAATATACATTACATGTACACTACATGTACTTATACACTTCATATACACTACATGTTCACATCATGTACTTAAAACATTTCATATACATCGTTATAAGTATCGTTATATTTATTCTGAAGATAAATTTAATCAAATAATTGACCAATTAGCTTCTTATCCTATTCTTATCTATTTTGGGTCATTGAGTCCTACAGATGCTAAGTACTTAAAAAGCATAACCTACATTGGTGATATTTGGTGGACAACTTAAAAACGTTTGTTCAATAGATTACAACTGAAATGAATTGGTTTTCCAAAAACAGACTAATAGGATCGTTCAGCTCTTGCATATTGTCACATAACTTCGCTTTTCTTGGCTGGAGAACAAATCGGCAATTACGAATCAATGATGGAAGTGATATATTATGCTTTCAGATTATCTACAGTAAAACGTCTGCAAAGCGGCCTTACGTAGAACAAAAACCTCTCGTTTCTATAGAAGTATCATATTTATCCAGATATTTCACAAAATCTTTGACCTCAGTCTGTAGAGCAACGCCATTCAGTATAAAGCCAAACGTTTTGTCTGCCAAAATTGTTACTATGCAAAAGCCTTTCTTTATTCCAAAACTTTATAAGCCTCTTTTTTAAACATGTTTTTTTTTGCAATAGACGTCTTGTCACTGTATAAAAACGGGTACGCTGAAGACTATAAGCTATTCCATATGATGAGAAGAAGCAGTTTACCTTTTTTGTTTACTTTCCCTTCTGTAGAGGAGAAGACAGAAAATGCATCGCGTAATTCTTTCCTGGCCTGTTCCCGGGTAATCATATGCTTCATAATTAACCTTACAAACTCTTGCTCATCCACTTTTCCATTTTCTAAAACAAAATATATAATAACATGTTATCACGTGAAATAAGCAGACATCCAACAAGTACGGTCATCATTCTGAGACAAACATATATCTAAATCAGTGTTTTTATATTTATATTATGGCGGCTAATTTGTGCCATGTCGTATGTTCGCTCCGCGATCAAAATACGACAATGTCACTGCTTTGACGTATCCTCGTTTCTTCGCCTGACGTCCGGCAGAGCAAAAATATGACATGGCCTAAATCAGCTACCATAGTTTATTCAACGGGACTGAGTGGTCGAGAATTTGCCATCCCTATCACTAGTGTGGGTTTAATCACAAAACTCTGCGAGTACGCCTGCGTTTTTATTTGTTTGGGTCGTCAGACCAAACAAATAATGGTAGCGAAATTTCAGAGTCTAATGTTGCTAATTGCAAATGCCGAAAGTAGTCCAATTTTTTTGGAGCGGTTACTTCCCTTTTGTATGTTCACTAAAGCCGAAAAATTCAGGGGAGATCACTGCGTAAAGATGGTCAAAGACAGGCGCATCAATTTTCAAGCAAAGTAATTCCCGAATGGTCAAAGATTTCTAATATTGTTTTATTGTATTTTCTGATCGAAAATAACTAAATACAAAGCGGACATTCAATCTCTGACACAGAAGTTTACTACAAACCTAACAACAAGTAGTTCTCAAAACAGCTAAAAACTAGCGATTTAAAAGAAAGAAATATTTTATTTTGTTACAAGTATCCAACAAATTACAACGCATTTAAAGTTAAATTATTTGTTTGGGTCGTCAGACCAAACAAATAATGGTAGCGAAATTTCAGAGTCTAATGTTGCTAATTGCAAATGCCGAAAGTAGTCCAATTTTTTGGAGCGGTTACTTCCCTTTTGTATGTTCACTAAAGCCGAAAAATTCAGGGGAGATCACTGCGTAAAGATGGTCAAAGACAGGCGCATCAATTTTCAAGCAAAGTAATTCCCGAATGGTCGAAGATTTCTAATATTGTTTTATTGTATTTTCTGATCGAAAATAACTAAATACAAAGCGGACATTCAATCTCTGACACAGAAGTTTACTACAAACCTAACAACAAGTAGTTCTCAAAACAGCTAAAAACTAGCGATTTAAAAGAAAGAAATATTTTATTTTGTTACAAGTATCCAACAAAATTACAACGCATTTAAGTTAAACAATAGCGTTGGCTTATAGAATTGTCAATAAATGCACAATCACAAATTACGCGGATGAATATGATTTTATCAATGAAAATACTATTTTTAGCCATGTTGATTACCGAATACTACACAAACCGAGTAGTGGAATATATAGATTCTACATGCCGGACCGTTTGGGGCGAGAGGATTTTTGCTAAAAATATCTACTTCAATTATAAACAACAGGTTTAGCCTAAACAAAATACCTCGAAATTAATAAGGATTACAAAACCCGAACTGCAATGGAAGTTCCAAATTTAGAATGATTTGATATTATTCAGACACACTGTGTATAACTTTTCCGTGGTACAAGGGTAACGCGCTCGCCTCGTGAGTGAGAGGTCTCGAGTTCGTATCCAAGTCGAGAAAACTTTTTTTTTGTTAAATTCTTTTTTTTAAGTGTTTTTTGTTAAGGAAGTAGCCATGATATACAAAGATAAAGTGTGGCTGTCGTAAAAAAAGGACATAAATTGATTTTTTGATGCAACTCTAGTTATGCAGAATTACGGATGTATCAAACTCTGGTGCCTTACAAAAGGAATTATAATACATAAAAATAAACTTATACAGGAAAATGCATACAGATATCAGAGCTGCATTACTGGTAATGGTACTGGTACTGCAGTACGTACTGCAGCAATTTTGCAAGTACTGTCAGATATACAGTACGATTGCAAAGATCAGAAAATACCACAGAACTTGCAGCCGTTTGATTCTTTATAAATATACATGCTTATAGTAAGCTCCAGGATTATTTACATCTGTGTTAAACAACAGTTAAAGTCGTTACAAGCCCTAATTTAGAATAATATGGTTTTCTTCAGGCCGTTCACATATAAATTTTCACCGTGGCTAAAGGGTTTTCGGGCTCGCTTAGGAAGCGAGAGGTTCTGGAGTTCAAATCCCAGTAAAGGTTACTCCTTTTTTTTAATTGTTAAAGTCAAAATAAACATTGATTGAATATCAGTGTTGCAATTAGTCTAATAGCCAATTTACCACAATTAAAACGCTGGAAAGCATTGGTGGCACTCAACATATAATCTCACAACCTGCACCTTTCTTACATTCTGAGACCCAAACAAATTCAGCGCCTTCTGTGCTTTGATTTATTAAAGGTCCTAGTATCTTTTTGACCAATAACTGAAACATTGTCATGACTGAAAACGTCTGAATTCGGATATGATTGGATTATTTCCTTTAAAAACATTGCTGTCAAAGTTAATTAAAATCATTTTGAAATTTTGGCCACAATGTACAAAGGAATATAATCCAATGATTATCGCATTAATCATAAAAGCTTTTAATTCAAAAAGGGTTATTCTTACTATCAACATCTGCTTCCTTGACAATATCATCTACTTGTTTCTTGGTGAGATTTAACCCCATTATTCTGAACGCTTCTCCTAGCTCTTTCTTGTCCAGAGTGTTGTCATTATTCTGGTCAAACAGCTTGAAAGATTTCATCATCTCTATAAGAAGAAATTTGTTTTAGAATTATGATACTTTTTTGAGTGAGACTAAAAAAGATTGGAGCACCACACTAAATACCTTATTCCGGTAGATACCGTACAAGGCGCTTAAATGATAAAATGCTAAAATTTTGCCCTTTTACCCGACGGAATGAACTACATTTGTATAATTGGTCTTATTTATTTTTCCACACCGATTTTTGTATGATACTGAACAAAAAATGTAAGAATCGGTGACATAACGATATTTGTCTATTTTGTGACCATGATTTCTGCAAGCGTCTATAGGTACTGCCCCAGTTCTGTAGTGAGTTAAATCCTACTTTATTTAGGATTTAACTCACTACAGAACTGGAGCAGTACCTCTAGACGCTTGCAGAAATCAAGGTCACAAGGTACAAAAATATCACAAATGTAAACAAAAAAGTACTATTATTCTGACTTCTTTACAAAAAACATGTACTAAAACACTAAAATAGTACTAATTGCATATAGCCAAAATGCAACGGATCAAAAGATGGTCGAGATAAATGGCAAAATAAGTACCTTTTTGGAAACAATAACAAGACACCAACTATGAAAAGATTTTGAGATATATAGATAAACGAATTTCTTGCGAATAATACTTGGCCTTTAAAGCAGCACGCCTTCAGATATCTGATAATGTTCATGAAAATTTTGAAAAAGTATTAAAAAGCAAAAAAAAATGTAAAGTGAAGAATTAAAATGATTTACATATTGCAAACGGCACTTTCAATCCATGTACTTTACAAAAAAAGTCAAAATATACAAAAAAGCTTTTACCGACTTAGTATCGCTTTAGAAATATGGTGAAAATCCTTCAAAATCGGTCATAAATGACACATTAAATGGAAATAATTACTTTATCTTGAATCTTTTTTACATTTCTCAAAACCTCATTACATTTTTCTGAAGTTCGATTTTCTTGAAATATTGTATCTCATTTGTGGTGTGCAGCTTTAAAACAAGCAAACATCTTTGAATTATACTTTATTGTTATTTGCAAAGACTCAAAATATTACAAGTTATCAATAATATACAGGTTTGTGCCACTTTCCTCTTATTTCCATCTGTAATGGAGGGCCACCATCTTTAAACTTTATTCAACAATTGTGAAATGTCCTCGTTTAGTTTCTCACGAGTATTTTAGTGTTAAACTTACACTATACATGTATCTAGTCACCTTTAACTTACTTAAGTTGATTTTTGGAATATTTTACACTTATTTAGACTTAGTATAATTAAGAACGTATATAAAATGTTTATACGAAAAGACGTGCGGACGGACGAACATCCCATCACAGTATCGCAGTATACAGTATACATTTATTAGATGGGGGCATAAAAAGTGCATGAAATTAAGATGCACTGAAGTGAAATCTTAAGGGGATGGGGTGAGGTTTAATCCGTGACCAACTAACTGGTCTTACTACATAGAGTTTGAGTTACTTGGTTTAAACATATTTATTTAAGCTCGCTTGCGAAACAAGTTCTTGCAACTTTTATTAATCACTTTCGAGTCCGCTTCCTGGAATCAACCAGTACTGGTGTCATATGAAGAAACATGGTCGTTACCCGATTAGGGCTCGAGCCCATGATCCATGGGTTGAGAGGCAGACACCTTAACCACTAAGCTACCGCTCTCCTTTTTACTTGTAGTTGAGGAAACTATCCAATTATTTATTACTTAATCATTTTTAGAAATAATATAGAATACAGAAATCAACATACGTTTGACTTTTAACGGCGTTACCTTCACGTCGGACGTTTGACCCGGTTTGCATGCATCGGTGTACTGTAAAAGAAAAAGAGAGTTAATGCCTCTATAGGAACCTAAAGATAAAAATATATATTTTGTATATTCTTTTTTAAATGTCTACAGGAGGTCAACAGATGTAAGTATTAATTTTTTGCTGAATAATGGCCCTATAGATTCTACAGTGGTTGAAAAATGAAGTATGGCACGTGTTAGAATTTTAAGACAATTATTAACTTCATCTCTTGTCTTTTACTAACTAACGTTCTCTTCTTTCTCAATCTTTTTCTTTGTTGATCTATGACATAAATGAAAATGCCATGTCATACGAAATGAAATTATAATGCTTATTATTGCAATGAATACTCATGTAATTGTTAACACTTTTGAGTTAATAAAGGTATGTTCTGTTCTTCTCTGTGGCAGATGTTCTCAAAATAGAAAAAAACATGCACAACCCAACCCCACCACTACTGTACTGTACCCATCCTATGTACTGAAGGGAAATAACTCGTATAGAAATATACGTTTCCTCCTTCAGTCGTTCACCATGCAGTTGTTTGTAAAATTGTTGCTTGTAAAGTAAAACTTCAAAATAAAATACTATTTTTAAAATTAAAATATCATGAAAAGAAATCTGCCATCTTATATTAATTTACATTTATATGATACTGACTGCGTTTATTTATGTGTTTAAATAATAAAATCTAACAGTCATTGTTGTCAGGGGGTGGGGGTGGGTGGGTACCTTCACAATCTTAATTCGATTTGTCATGATATACACATTATAAGGCACACTATACCTCAGAAATCCATATATATATTTTAATTCTTTGCAAATGTCAAACATTGGTTTAAAGTGTTTAAAATCTTTAAAATGATTTAACAATGGTTTTAGATGTTTCACAAACAAAGAAAGTAGCATTGACGTGTTATAAAGGTACCAAATGTAAACAAAGTGGTATTTTGACTGCCATACAAAATACTTATTCAAAATAATTATACCAATTACTAATATAGCAACAGGAGCAAAGGTTAGTTTATCTAGTATATGGCACATGAGTTATGTGAGAAGTATAATTAGTATACTTTAGTTCCATTGAGAAGTCGCAGCACTTTGAAATCAGTTTTAATGGAAAAATCAATGCAAAATAGTAATTTTTGGCAATTTTGTGATGTCTCCTCGTTGCCATGGTAAAAGGAAATTTGAGATTGAATATGCGGTTACAAAGGCTATTGTCCAGTTAACATTTGTGCTAAGTTTGAACAGATTGAAGCCTTTTTTTATAGTTTCATAGCAATTTGAACTTGTAACAGGAAATTTTTCAATGAAAACAGTCATTTTTCACAAAATGCTTACCAAGTAATAGGTTAAAGTGTGATAAGTAAGAAACACATTTCAACCTAAAGATCAATTTATACAATCTTTGACCATTAAAAGAAAGATTAAAGAAATTTGATTTATTTTTTAAATGTGCCTTTTAGAGGCAAATGAGTTTTAAATAAATAAATACTTGCTTAGAAAAAGCCAAATATAAGAGACATAATATGTAAATTAGAATTACCATACAAAATACTGTAGTTGAAATAAATTATCACGAAAAAATTCTGCCATCTTTTATTAATTTTCGTTTATTTATTATTATTTGTTTTTTACATTTTCAAGTTAAATTATTGTATTTTGATTAAAGTTTTTATTTCACAAACGTAAGTGCGGATAAGAGGTAGTAAAGATTATTCAGAAAATATCAAATGAAAATTATAATAAAAATATCATTTAATTAAAACGCAGCATCAGTTTATTATAACAGCTGGGTTCAAACTTTCAAGAAAAAAATGCACGCGACACTTAAAACAAAAAATAAAACTTGTGACTCTAGTACCTTTATACATAGGCTATACGTATATAAACACACATATCAACTGAATTTCCAACAAGTTACATGTATTATAAATATGAGCCGCGTCACGACAAAACCAACATAGTGCATGGATCCATGCTGTTCGCTTACAAACCCTATAACAAGTAGAGAAACTGATAGCGAACAACATGAATCCTGATCAGACTGCGCGGATGCGCAGGCTGGTCTGGATCCATGCTGGTCGCAAACCCATTATGTTGGTTTTGTCGTGACGCGGCTCATATATAACCATACCGTGTCGACGGCAGTTTCCAGTTTATTTACTGCGTTATTATGATCCTCGTTTTCTGACATCCTGAATTTCGTCGCAATAAACTAAGAATAATTTCGTGTAGTTAATAAAATATCCACCTATCAATAATGATGTGTAATTTTAGTCAGATAACTTTTAAGTTATTATCTTTTTCAGCAGTTTTCGTCAAGGATTTCACATTTTCCAGTTGAATTAGGTAAACAAGTAAAAACGTTCTTAACTGTCAAATGATTTAGAATAATCCTTCAACACATAAGTTGACACCCCTTTTACATCGGTTGAATTTAAAGTTAACATTTACACCAATGTGCTTATCATTAGTGTGTTATTTATCTGGTATTGACATTAAGATTTTAATAATATTTTTAGTTAAAAGAATTTCAGTTCACATTGATCAATAGAACGGAACCTTGATTATGGCTACACTGCCCTACAAAAGTTCCGCCGCGCGAAATGTATCCAATTTCCTTTCATTTATATTGCATGTATTGCCTGTAGGCTTGATTTGCGACGCTACATTTATTTTGTACGTTTCATAGTTTAGGTTGGTATTTTGAAGTTAATAAGCAGGATATTAATCATACACACAAATCAAAATTATAAAATTTAAAAATAAAAATTCTAAGTGTTATAATAAAGATACGAGTACCTTTAAACGAAGAAAAATATAACCACCATTTTAATAAAGAAGCTTGATGAGGTAAATATATGTATAAAATGAAAAGAAATAAAATGAAATTTAAAAAACATCTACAAGGAACAATGGCCGTTTTCATGCAAATTGAAGTCTAACTTACAACAAGTTTGCTTCTTTAAAAAGAAGCATGCGAGAGGTCTTTTTGCTGCTGTAGAAGATTTGTTTAATTTGAAAATATTTGGAAAAAAAGACACAATGAATGGTTATAAATTACAATTATTTAACAAAATAGAATTTATTATACAAATTGAATATATAGTATCATAATGAAAGTTTGTTTTACACTTCATTTTTTTAATGTTTTGAAACATTATATGCCGGAGAAATTGACTATTTCTTGGCGCATTAGGGATACTTTTTCTACAAAGGGAACTTAATTAAAATAAATGATATGTATTTTAAAAGTAGTATCAAATTTTCTTGTAAAATTCAATAAGAAAATTTTCGCTTAATGTTTTGGCAAGTATATGGAAACATTTCCTCTACATTTTCGAAAACGGGCATAAAGTATGTTAATCAGACAATTTTAAGTCCAGGATTTACATAAAATATGTTTTATATCATTTGATTGGAATAAACAGAATATAAAGCTGCATGCCTCCAACCACTATTTTTAAGAAAATCAAACTTGTGTCAAATTTGTGCCATTTGCGCCTAAAAATCCCCGTTGCGTTACTTAGTCATACCGGTTTAAAAGTTTAAGGAGCAGCAAAATTTCGGTACATGGTTCACTCGGTCATATAATAGTGTAGCTATAATGTTCACTGTTACTTTTTATTGTCACTGTTACTATTTATCGGAACATGAAATAGTAAAACGCTATTCAGAAAACAATACTGTAATCGATTTATACAGTTTAAAAGATTAGAACGAAATGAAACATCCACGTAGCGCATAGTAACGTAAATTATATTTTCCGATTTTTCTATGTACCGATTCGTTCACTTCGATGTTAATTTTTCGTTTAAATTAAGTCGTATTTTGAAACGGAGCATGCGCAAAACAAATTTTGTAGACTGCTCCTAATGATTTTTAGCTGTAAATGAGATTCGTTCACTACAATCAGATACGCAAAAATGAATGCCGCCAGCAATCAGTCTGAACACTGTGGAGAGGTCTGATGACCTCTCCAATTAGATACTGTTAAATTGTAAAATATGAATCCTTAAGTCACTGATCAATGCAAAATAGGTGAAATATATTTTTAAGGCCTGCAGTGACAAAACCATGCCATTGAACATATATAAGTCTCTTTTACGTAGGCACTGTGCCTTGGTAAATATAAATAATATGTCGTACTAAAAACAAATATGGTGACGGCCCACTGAATTTTCGTACTATATATCCTACAGTAAATCCATCACATCTAAGACTAAATTCTGAACACAGCATATCCCGTACAGGCATTTGATGGCTAAAACTTTCAACAACAATACTATCCAACTAAATTTAGCACAAAAAATAATACAAATAATACATTAGCCCTTGGACTTCGAGTGCAGCTTTTAATTTGTGTAAGCACTATAAAATAAACCAAATAACAACTAGGGTGTAGACTGGCGCATGGTACTTCCTGAAACCTTCCACCAAGAAATTAACTCCTGCAAAGATAATACAAAAAAACAACCTTTAAAGTACTCAGAAATGAAACTTCATGTACACATTTACAAAAAATATACTTAAAATATAATCAGTCTTACCAAGATTTAAAAGAACTACTTTCTAGACTACAACGGGCACGGTCTAATTCCGTACCAGGGTGATACCGTACGGTCTCATATCCAATCCTTGTGCTAACAAAGTTAAGATGCCGGGCTAAAAACTAGTATATATACGGTGCCGTACTAAAACAAAAACGTTTCCATGCTCAGATCTGTTGATTTCGTCGGTGCGTGGTAAAACCAGATACGGTGCCAGTGATTGCGTCGTGCTAAATATAAGCGAAATATTGATGCTAAATATATAGATATATATATTATAATGCAATATTTATGGCGAGTAGTGTAAAGTAGTGCATTACAAAATATAATTTTGCACCTACACAAGGCGGATTACGTTATGTTAACAGTATATAAGTACGTTAACATACTAAATAAGCCTAATCACGAGAACCACTTTACTTCAAACACTTACCACTGTGATCTTTAGGTTTCTATTTGCTTGTTTTATTGATATAACAAACATACGGTCTAACTTGACCGGTGACTTACTTTATTAAAAGATCGTAGATCAAGATCCGAGTCGATTATCTTCTTTTCAATTAAATCTGGGCCTTTAAAGTAGAAAGTTCTATTCGAAATACCCGGAACGAAAATCTCAAATAGTCACACATTGATATACAATTTTACAGACACATAATTTGCAATATTAAATTTCAATATCACGCGCGTTAAAGGAACGTATATTTATCGGGAATGTTGAAAAGATCTTTATTGAAATGTAGGTACAGTTGTAATTATAGACAGAAAAAAATCTTGAATGTCTCACAATATGTAAGTGTCGTATAATGAATTATGAAGACGTTCCGATATTATAATGTTAGACACTCCACGAGAAAGAAATTTTCAAAAAGATTGATTTAAATAAGGGATAAAAAAATGTACAATGATTATATATACCGGCATATTGAAATCTTCACATTTGAAAGTAAACGTTGGTGAATTTAATCTGTTTTGACTGATATTTCTCTGTGATAATAAAGCGGTTAGAAAAGGTTTTGTGATTTTGTTTCTAACAAAGATTATCCGACTTTCGTCTTTAACGTGTTACAGGTACCTTTAACTCATCTTGTTTCCTGAGAGGTTCGTAACGACGGAGGAACTATTCCTCCTAAATTAATCAAACCAACCCTATATATTTACTTCAATAAAAATGCTAAGCAAGTTATTCTAATCTTTTATACACCAATAAAACTCATATAAAAATACCATTCATATAGCCCTACAATCAACATAAAGGTGAGTATTAAAAATTGAAAGCATTTACTTTCATCAAATCCCCTCTATCTTTTAAAAAAATATTGCGATACGGGCGGTATAAATGTATTTCGAATGTAAAAGGTATAGTTTCTTAAGTAGGTCAGAAGTTTTAAATATTTTCAAATTATCTTCGTGTTCTGCGACTGAACATTTTGCCCATTCAATAACTTTTTTTATTTCAGAATACAATTTCTGTTACGGTTTTAGCTTTTTCATTAGTCAGTTGGTATTAAAGTCACTCCGACATTGTAACACCTTTACCCTGCTTGCGGCAAGAGATTCAACACATGCGACCGCAATCGGAACATCTTCGGCTATTATCTATAATAACATTATCCGAAAATTGACGGAAAGGGCCGAAAAGTTGCGATTGATGCGACCGGTGGAGACACAGAACATGTGATACATTGTCTGCACTTATCCTTATTGTATCATAGATATTGTGAATGTTTAGCGTTCAGTTAACGCTAGTTATGTTTATATTTAAATGAGATTATTCTGATATACATTTATTTATATGTTTAATCATTTTTTTCTGCAGCAATATATGTTCATTCTCCAATATACTGTAAATCTTTGATTTATATCATGTGTTACGCTATTTATTATATTTTGATATGTATAGTGTTACAAGATACTGTATTGTATACGTTATGAAATAAAATTTCTGGTCTGTTCATATTCAATGCAAATCGAGCCATGATATTTTTATTTTCATACAATGTATCAGTTCACAAACAGTGATAATATGATGTATACGAAGAAGAAATCACATTGTTTGATACAGGTAGAAAAATTGTACAAAGCAAACATTTAAGCCGTGTCACGACAAAACCAACATAGTGGGTTTGCGACCAGCATTGATCCAGACCAGCCTGCGCATCCGCGCAGTCTGATCAGGATCAATGCTGTTCGCCTACCAACTCTATTACAAGTAGAGAAACTGATAGCGAACAGCATGGATCCTGATCAGACTGCGCGGATGCGCAGGCTGGTCTGGATCCATGCTGGTCGCAAACGCACTATGTTGGTTTTGTCGTGACGCGGCTCATTTAATTTAATTGAGTCAGTACATTCTAGTTTGTACGGGAGCGTCCTGGTGCCAATTTAACATGCTCTATAAAAAAAGATAACTCCTACGTAGGACTTTGTAACTCCTACATAGGACTTTGTAACTCCTACGTTGGAGATATAAAAACCTGATTAGGAGTTTTGATGTCCTTCGTAGGACTTACAAACTCCTACGTAGGACTTTATATCTCCTACGTAGGAGTTAAAAAAACCTAATTAGGAGTTTATAACTCCTACGTAGGACTTTATAACTCCTACGTAGGACTTTATAAGTCCTACGTAGGACTTTGTAACTCCTACGTTGGAGATATAAAAACCTGATTAGGAGTTTTGATGTCCTTCGTAGGACTTACAAACTCCTACGTAGGACTTTATATCTCCTACGTAGGAGTTAAAAAAACCTAATTAGGAGTTTATAACTCCTACGTAGGACTTTATAACTCCTACGTAGGACTTTATAAGTCCTACGTAGGACTTTGTAACTCCTACGTAGGAGATATAAAACCCTGATTAGGAGTTTTGATGTCCTATATGTAGGACTTACAAACTCCTACGTAGGACTTTATATCTCCTACGTAGGAGTTAAAAAAGCCTAATTAGGAGTTTATAACTCCTATGTAGGACTTTATAACTCCTACGTAGGACTTTATAACT